TTTTTAAAAATTAATTTTTATTGCAGTGAAATGCACATAACATGAAATTTACCTTTTAAATCATGTTAGGGTACAGTTCAGTGGTATTAAGTACATTCACAAGATTGTGCAACAATCCCCACCATCCGTCTCCAAATCCTTGTCATCTACCCCAGTTGAAACTCTGTCTCCATTAAGCACGGGTGGCACTCCATCCTCCATCCTGCAGACCCTGGTAGCCTCCATCCTACTTTCTGTCTCTAAGAATTTGACCACACCAGATATTCCCATAAGTGGCATCCTACAGCAACTGTGTGCTTACTTTTTGTGTGTCCGGCTTATTTCACTGATCCTAAGGTCCTCAGGGTTCGCCCTCGCTGTCACATGTCAGAACTTCCTTCCTTCTTAAGGCTGAATCCTGTACCATCATGTGGATGAGCCATATTTTGTCTACCCAGGTAACTTCTTTATGTGGGTTAGCGTCTTTCCTTCCTCCTCCCCTCCCTCCCCTCCTCTCTCCCTTTCTTCCTCTTTCTCCTGCCTGCCTTGCTTTATTCTCTCTCCCTCCATTCAACAAATATTTATTGAGCATCTACTATGTTAGTAGTCATGGGTTTAAATGCTGAGGATATAGTAATGAGCAAAACAGACCGAGATCCCTGCCCTATTGATGGAAGGAAAGGCAACCCTGGAAAAGAAAGTTAAATAAATACAGTGTATAATGTTACAAGCTCTGCAGTGCTGTGATGCTGTGAAGAACCATAAGAAAGCAGGGAGAGAGGCTGGGTCGGGACCCAGGTGACCTTTGAGCAAAGAGCTAAAGGTAGAGGGATATCTGGGGGAAGACTGTGCCAGACAGAGGCACAGCAAGTGCAAAGGCCCTGAGGTGGAAGGTCTGGTGTGTCCAGGGACCAGTGAGGGGGCCAGCGTAGCTGGGGCAGAGTGAGCAAGGGAAGAGAATAGGAGGAAATGAGGGCTGTGAAGTCATGGAAAGTCCAGACGACCAGACTATGTTGCGCCCATTTTACAGCCTTAGAAGTGGAGGCAGAGATGGGGGAAGCGGCTTGTCCAAGATCTTGCAAGCGCAGGAGGAAACGCACAAACTCAGGACTATCTGAATCTTCTCTCTGCCGTCTCCCGAGGCGACTTGAGCATCAATTCCATCTGAGCACTACGTTGGGCGTCCAACACTGTTTCTATGCATTTTTCATAAATTAACTCACCGGACCCTCCCGACGGTCTCGTGAGAAAGGTGCTCCTGTCATCCTCCGGACGAGGACGGGGAAGTGGCGACGCCCGGCCACGATTACACAACGCTGGTGGCCGTGCCATGACTTGAACCCAGGCGGAGAGTTCTAAACAACCGCAGGGAACTTGATGCCCGACAACAAAGGGGCTGATGGTGCAACCAACCAAGAGGTGGGATTAACCCCGGACAAGAGGAAAGCCGCCTCTTCCATTGTTTAGGCGGCAGAAGGAAAGGGCGGGTGAGGATGTGGCCGGAAGTGGAGGGAGGGTCGTCCAGGGAGACGGGGAGGCCGAGGCCAGCTCACCTCAAGGGGCACCTGGACAGATGGGGGGGGGCTGGAGAGGTGAGGATGGTAGGTACCCAGATGAGGTTGGCGATCAAGAATTTAAAGAGGCATCCGCTGAGCGGCTAGATGATTTTGTTTTGTTTTGTTTTCCTCCAGCAAAGAGCAGGCACTTGCAGGGCTGGGTGATGGTGGGAGGAAGGCTGAGAAGGGAGCTGAGGGCAGCGTGGGAGAGGGGTGGGGATAAGGCGCACTGTGGGGGTAAAGGAAGGGCAGATAGAAGGGGCTTGGGGAGGCTGCATGAGGAGGGTCGGGGTGCCTTTCAGGTGGAAAAACAGGCATGGCAAAGCCACCCACAGCCCTGGGAGAGTGGGAGGCGGTGGTCAGGGAGTGGGGTGCTGGATTTTGTGGTTTCAGAGGTGGAGCCTGTTCGGATGGAGATAGGGGCCAGGGTGTGACGGTGGGAATGGTGGTCTCTGGCCACACCGAGGGTGAGGGACTGAGAGACCAGGGGGTCCTCTCTCCCTGGGTCTGCTGACTCCCCGTGTCAGCGAATGCCTTTTTCTACCTCCACTTGTAATACAAATCAGGCAGGTTGCCAAGGACTTTGCCTCACAAGAGCTTTTTGAGATTAGAGACTCATTAGTACCACATTAGAGATGAGGAGACCAGGTCTCAGATAGAAGTCACTTGTGCAGACGACATAGCTGGGATCGAACCAGGGAACCAGGGTCGTCTGTCTGCTAAACGCCATGCCACTCTGTCTCCAAATCTGCCTCCATGCCATCGAGGGCAGGGAATTCTCTGCTGGACCCTTGTCTCCTGGAACAGTCCAGTGTGAATGTGCATGCAATGAATGTTTGAGGGATGGGCAAACAGACCCTCACTTCTGTCTTCTGTCCCCCACCGGTTTGGGTTTGGCAATTTCTCTAGTACCTTCCG